AAGTAGCGATTCTCACTCGGACCCGGCAATTTTCGGTATTTCAATCGCATCTTGATTTTTCAGAGTTGATTTTCTACGAGCAACCAACAACGCCGATGCCAAATTTTCTGCGGAACAAACTCTTTACAAACGCCGCTGCTACTAATAGTACCGCACAATGCCGCAAGTGGCTGAAATGACAGTCGGTCAACACGTCACTATACGGCGACTGCGGTTTTGAAAACCTTCATTGTAGCTTTGGCTTTATGCAACCTATTTTCTTTGCCTCTCTCCCTCACGCTGTTTTATTATTTTTCGAGGCTCGACAGCGTGTCGGACGCTCCCCGTCTTCGTCGCGGCTGAGGCGCAAATCTCTTTTTCACAGATGACATTCGTATTGACGAAGCGCATTAAGATATGTTTATGTTGCAAGAGTGAGTATATTTATATATACATGACACGAGGCAAAGTAGTACAACATCCAGTTTTTATTGATGCAAACGAAACACGGTCTACGAGTAGTGTCATGAAGTCCATGCAGGAAGGAGTAGATCAAATGTTTTCTAGCTTCGGGTATGCAGGGCGTCCCCACTATGACACAGGATGAAGTAAAAAAAAATAAAAACAGGAACTTTGTCTCGCAAACCAAACCTATTGTACATTTCTCCCAGTATTATTAGTTACGATTTTTTGGGGTAAAAAGGTTTGAATAATACTGTATAGATAACTCGATGAGTACTCTAGTAAGTATTAAAATGCCCATGAGGCATATGTAGGCATTATCAAAGACATCTAAATGTGCTGTTTTAGACGACTAAGTTGGTGCCCTGTTTGAGGGGACTCAGTTGTTAATGAAAGCTCGCGAAATGTAAAAAAATGACAGGTGATTGTGCTCCGACAGGCAAAATAAAGCACTGCCCTCAAGTAAGCTTACTGCTAGCAACCACTTAACTCGTTTCCGGAGACAAGTGTTTCACACTAAGGCAAGGTTACAAGTTGCAGTGGGTTTCAACATGCGTCACAATCTCGAAGGCATTCATGCCACTCGATTGTACGTACCTCTCATTATCAAGAATTCACGGCTGACTGTTCTCGTTGGTAGGTAGCGGGGCAGAAACGCTTTACTGATTTCGACTAGGCTCTGTAAGGCCAATGTGGCACTTCAGCTGCGAAATGGCAGACGGTGATCTGTTTTTCGCCATTTATATTTGCTACCTGACAGTGAGCCTAACTAAGGGCTCGGATAACGCGTGCCACAGTTTAACCACGTTTCATTTTTGCACATTCGTAGATATTCTTTACGTACCGGCAAGCAAATTCAAATAAAATGCACACGCAATTGTTGGGTTGCCCAAATTAGCGGAGTTAGATGTCACGTGCCTACATACGACTCATTGATATTTTAATAGTCGTATGAGGACTTGTCATGTTTAAATATTGAGGACATATTATTAAAACTTCATCGTCCTTATTTCGTGCTTATGCTCTTCCGAGTTCCAGTGAAAGTGCGTTGACTCGAGGTCAGTCATCGAACATACCAGCGGTTCCAGTGTACTCGGAACATTAAATAGACGGTTTGCTTTGGATAACACCATTATTCTCGTTGACGTTATGAAGCTCGTTCCCCAAAATTTCGCCGTCGTTGGTTGTGAGCAAAAAATCGTCTTGTCCGTGACCTAGACATCAACAGTTACACTAAACGAAAATAACCTGAAATAACCTAAAAAAACTGGGTGAACCCCTTGTACTCTAGCGCACCACCTTTCCAGCTTTTTTACCACCTACTAGCCGAAGTAAAAACTTATTTTCTTGATAACCGAGTTTTCGAACGTAGGAAGGGCAGTTATTATTTACCCCTTTTATGTTTTGAGCGAGTATAGAGGGTCAATTTTAACGGCCTTCGGAAGGTTTTTGAGGCGATTTCTGGAAGTTATTTCAGGTGGTAAAAAAAAATGAAAGTTGACGAGTGAACTTACCCAGAGTCGACAAATTTAATAAATATCAAATGACGGCAGAATTGATGACACATAAAATAACATACATACACGCACACACAACAAATACAGAATAAAACACCACTCGAAAAGACTGTACACGTTACTCGACTGCACTTCGACAATCCGGTATATATTGGCACGCCTTTTTGACCTGCCGTGTAGCATATCGGCAGGAGAGCTGTTTTTTTCACATCGATTGACAATAACCGTTAAAAGTGGAAGCGTGAACTCAAGGTGGGCTGCACGTCGCTGGGAGTCGCACGGACCTTTTCTTATAAACCCACCGGATTTCGCCTTTTTTGACTATCAAATATTTCGCGGGCACATTGGCCCCTTGGCTTCACCAGTGTTAGCACTGTCAACCTTTTGTAGGCAGGCTTGATGTCGGGAAAGCAATCACGTTAATACGACTTATAAAGCTTTTTATAGCAGCGAAAGTACAACCAGTTATCGCACAATGTGATTAGCGTTACGAGTGGGCCGTACAATGCTGCAACCCATTACAAAAGCTTGTTCTTGTTTCCCTATTAACTGTGGCGCATACTAACTTCAGTCATAATTTCTCATCGTCGTCAGCCACTGCATGGACAATTGGCAAACAATTCCTCGCAAGTGTTTAGCGGATACCACGCTTCTCAGAAGAATGACGAAAAATAGCATAGCGAATGCCAGCCTGCAACCCAAAAATTCATTATTGATGCCCTAGTGGGTACCACGCAACTGTGCTTGCAGTAGTTGCCCAATGAGTGTTTTGGAAAGGCTCTCAATGGCCGCTCTTCTAGCCTTCGCTGCGACTCTGCTGCGCCTTCCGCTCAGGCCTGGCGTTCCTTATTTGGAGAGCTCCCCGTCCCGTACTTTTTTTTCGTTCACAGAATGCTGCCTCACTTGTCGTGCTTATGCTGTTCCGAGTTCCCGTGAAAGTGCGTTGACTCGAGGTCAGTCATCGAACACGACGATGCCCCCCCCCCCCCCCCCGGAAAAAAAAACCTCGCGTACCTTCAGGATTCACTGATAGCGTCACTAGGGGGTATGGGGCAAAAGCTGCCGAAGCAGCTGCCGCTTGCAGTCACATGGTACTAAAATCTGAAACGCAGCTTAAAAATCTCGTGATAGAAAGCTCCCCACGTGGTAAAATTGAATTTGGCATCCTTTACTACGTGCCTCAGGGGTGGTGGTAAAACTGCGTAATGTATCACCTTTCACTCCAATGCATGCTAGTAATTTCAAACGCGAGAGAATTCTCAGAGGTCATGAGCCGCGAAAACCCCCACACTCGGATAGTTCTTGTTGAGTGTACATGTATATATACAACTTCCGGTTCTTGGTGAGTATCTCATTCAGCCAGTATGCATCACAATCACTTATTGAAACAGCTTCAAAAAGAAAATAATGACATGTAAGGAGTATTTCAGAAGCGTACCCGTTACAAAGGGTTGGTACATTTAATCGTCAGCAGCAGCAAAAGAATAAACAAAGTGAACAGCTGCGTGGGTTCACGTGTTGCGCGGCCGACGCGTATATACGTCACTGATTCGCGAAAGGATTAATTGTGGCATAGTGGGCTGTGTTCGCAATGGGAACATATTGGTACTCTTACGCGCTGTTATGCGCGCTGTCCATCGTTACTTCATGGCACGGTAGAGGCATGCAGCAGAGAACTGAAGCAAGCAGTTGCAGAAGGTGATGCACACAAGTCCAGATCAAGCTATCGCGATCTGCTCTTGAAGACTCCTCGCCACGGTGGTCTAGTTGCTGAAGCACTCGACTGCTGACCCGCAGGTTGAGAGATCGAATTTCGGCATCGGCGGTTGCATTTTCGATGGAAGCTAAAATGCTGTAAGCACTTGTGGTGTCGATTCGCAGTGCACGTTAAAAAAAACCTCGGGAGGTCGAGATTTCCGGAGCCCTCCACTACGGTCTCTCGCGTAATCCCACGGTGGTTTTTGGACGTTAAACCCCAGACTATTACTCTTGAAGGCGAAGCCCGAGCGTCCCTAAATTTCGCTTGATAAAAATCGTGCTACGTGATAGTTTAGACGCCCTGTATACCGATCTCTTGAGAAAAATAAGCAAATTTAATACTGCGAAGGCAGTCATTCCGCATAGTTCATCAAAACTGATGGCACTTTTAATTAGGAGGACTTGCGCAGTATGCGTTACTGCAACTAGTATACAAAATTACTCGATATAACCACGTCGTGTTTTTAAGAATAGTCTCTGTTTTTGCCTTATATACACCCACGAGTCAGTATTAAGCCGATGTAACCGGAACTGAAGGCAGTAAAAACTAGTTTTGAGCGTTCTTCAGCGCTCAATTCTCCTTATTCAATCCACGAGTTAGTTCTAATCGAAGTCTGCGAAATAACTTCTTGTTGTCATGGGAGATCTGCTGCTATAAAATTTTCTTCGTGTTTGCATCCTGAACAAAAATTGCTGGATGAAGCTCAGAGATCCAACTCGCCGGAACGTTACTGGGGTGCTGAAGACGAGAATGCGCAATGTACGCAAATGAAAGAAACGGAAAGGTTTTGAGAAAATTCAAGTTCGAATGAACTACTCGCACTAAAATTACCTAAACGTAGTCTGAAAGCCATGTTATGCAAGAGGTGAGCATTTTGCCAAAATTATTGTTAGTAGACGTTGAACAACGTTTACAGATGTCAAGAACAGCTGCGTATTACGATCATTAAAACATGATGCTGACTTGAATACTGTGGGCATACCAAGAAATGTGTGCGTGTGAATGTTCTACTGACATATGAACTCTTGGAAGTTGCCTTTAAACTTCTATGCTATTGAAGTGCTATTCAGCTCGCTACGGCTTTTTCTTTCTGCATGTTTGTTTGCGATTTCGCGTAACCACTTGCTTTTTCACTTAAAAACTATTCGAATCGAAGTAGCTGAGGCATTTTCACGACATTTTCACAACACACAGCAAACAAGTTGGAAATATAATCGGAGCAATATTTATTTTTTGCACTTCGTGTAATGCCGGCAAGCTCAAATGCTTCGCTGATCTTGCAGGTTCTGGCACTTCCAAACCACCCCAAAAGCAAGGCGCTCAGTACATGCTGGAGCAAAGTCCACTACAGTCTTCGAGTTCATCTGGAAATATATCGCTTCGCACAAACTACTTCCGGATCCAACGGCTAAGTGGTGTTGTGTACCACTATGATGTGGAAATCAAAACTGTTAACAAGACCGATACTTCCAGAGACACCAAGCCAAGAGGCTTCAGCACACGGGTCAAGCGTCGTGTCGTAGAGGCTCTTCAACAGTCCAAAGCGTTCAAGAAATATGTGCTGGCGTTTGACGGCACAAAAAACCTCTACACGAGTAAGCCATTGCCATCAAAGGAAGTTGAACATTGCGTAGCCATCGACGAAAAAAGCAACCAGGACTTCTTCATTACGCTGAAACTCGCTTACACCCTAGACATGGAAGAGCTGAAAAGTCCCTTCGACCCCGATGTACACCAGAAACATATACAGGCACTCGATATTCTTATAAGGCACGCAGCAAGCCAGACGCACGAAGCTGTGGGACGATACTTTTTTAAATTACCACATAATCCTCCTGATAAATTAGCCGAAGTGTATCACGGGTTCTACACAACCTTTCGGCCCTGTAAAAGCGAGCCGATGCTAAACATCGACTTTGCTGCAATGTCTTTCTGTCATTCAATGACGCTACTCAAGTTCGCAGAAAAAGTGAAGAAAGAACGAGGTGCTAGCAGTTTGCCGGAGCTGTTGTCAAAGGAGCTGAAAGGTTTGCAAATATATACTACATACTTGGGCTACAAACGGTTTTACCGAGTGGAACGTGTGAGTGAAAAGAGTGCTAAAGATCAGGATATCACGGTCGAAGAAAAAAAAATGAATGTCGCCCAATACTTCAAGAACAAGGGCCTTAAGATAAAATCACACTTACGATGCATAAAATGCGAGGGTCAAGATCAATACTTACCACAGGACTTATGCCACATACCAGCACAACCGTACAGACATGAGGCCTTTAAAGAAGTGATCCAAGAAGCGTTTCGCGATTCAAACCCCATGGAGCGGTTCACGTTCATCCAGGACACAGCGGACGAACTTTTCAAGACTAGTCGAGATACTCTGAACGAATTCAGAATTGAACTTATCGGGGAGATGGTAAAGCTCAATGGCCGCATTATCTCACCGCCATCAGTTAAGTTTATGCGTGGTCAGCTGATGCCAGACGAAGGCTCATGGAAGATGCTTTTCAGCCATCGTTTCTTCAGTTCACGGAACGGTCCAACACGTTTTTCAGTACTGGCAGTCGACTGTAAAATAAACGAAAATATAGGTATAGAGCTGACAGACATCGGCGAAGGTCTTGGAATTAAGCTCGAATACTCAGAATTCAAAGATATAACCACCACGGATGACCCTTTAAAATGTCTTTGTAATGGTTTTAAAGATTTGCAAGCAGCAGAGCTTGTCCTTGTTGTCCTGGGAAATCCTAATCTCTATGCGACCGTCAAAGCGGCTGCCGATGTCAGTGTCGGAGTCCTGACACAGTGCCTACAAGTGCAAAGACTCTCGGACAATAATTACCCACTGTGGCGCAGCATCTGCCTAAAGATCAATGCCAAGCTTGGCGGCTGCAACAACGTGCTTTGCAAGACTGACAGTGAGGAGACCATTACACATGCTATGGTCATTGGTATTGATGTAAATCATCCTGCTCCAGGGGACACGTGAGTACTCATTGACTTTGAACTTCCTTTTCATTAGCATTAGAAAGTAGTGACTCTGTGCAATAGTATCATTCTTACTCCGCCCACTTCGGTGCAAAAGTTTCTTGCATGTTCCACCAATCAACTTGGACCTTTGCTTTCTGCTGCCAAGCTGTATCTATGTTCTTAATGTCATCTGCCGACCTAATTTTATCTCTATTTTACGCGTTTGACTTGCATTGAAATCCAGTCATTTTACCCTTAATGGCCAGTGGTTATGCTACCTACCGCACGGTGCCCAGCTCCGTCCAAAACTTGCCACGGCCGACGGTGATTCACGTCATCAAAGTGGGGTATTGTGAAACGGCTTTTCACTGGCAATATTCGCCCCACAGTTGTCACTTCATTGGGTACGACACCTCCACTGCGCAAAGATATATGCCCGGTTCACGTCAATGAAAAGCAAATATGCTGATTTGAAGTGTGCTTGTAAGTGGGTATGATAAACAGGCGACAACGGCATAAAATCTCTACCTTAGACAATTTCTCTCCTTCTCCTTCTCTACCAGCAGGTGTTGCAGGCATTTTCTTTTTCGAGAACCACAGTATATGCTACCTTTGCGTAGCAAAGTTGCACCACAGGTTTAGATGCCCCTAGCAACCATGCATTGCAGAAAAGCTCATTAGCAGGCCGATTCTTGTGCTCCCTGTCGCCGCTGCAGTAAACTGGGTTCATAATAGTTGTGGACCTTTTCACTGAGGGCTCCTTAGGTGCAGCTTATTAGCGTTTATTAACAATACCCCCTCCCCCAAATAACAAAAAATCGCACCTGAGTCTGCTACAACAGCGTTCTAGTTCCTGGATAAAGTCCAGTAAGTGAGGGCCTTCTTTCATGTGAAAGTCTACAGCGGTGGGCCAGGAAAGTGTATCGGCGTTCGATGACACGCCAACTGTAAAAACCAAAGTGCGGCTTCGCCACAAATCTGTGCTTACCAACGGTGACTGTGCGCAACTTGGCTACCTACAGGTGCCATTTTCAGTAACGCTTTTTCTAACTCCTATTCGAACTGATTTCATACATGTTAAAACGACGAGAGCGTTGTATGAACTTATTCATAAATACAGCCTTCATGCTAATTGGCACTGCTTCGGCAGATACGCAGACTGCCTAAACAATTCTGTTTACCTGCTCATGTTTCAGACTGTGAAGTGTAGGCCAGAAGGGCCTAATGGATGCGCAAACTTACAGTACTGTTTCTTTCACGCAGTCACACGCCGTCCCTTTCTGCATGTGTCGCTAGTATGGACCAACACGCATTCCAATATCGCGCACGGGTTGGAGTTCAGATGGACAACGATAATCAACCGGTGGGTCGCAAGGAAGTCGTGATGGATTTAAAGGTCAGTGAAAACAGCCCGCTCATTTGTTCACCTTACATAGTTCGAAAATTTTGAGTGTGTGTGCGTGTATGCTCAGAGGTGGTGGCAAGAGCGATGTCAAACCAACAGTGTCATGGTTTCTACACAGGTATTTTACGCTTACAAAGTTTAGGTGAAATAGCACTTTACGTTTCTTTCAGCAGCTTTTTTTTTCTGCTTGCGTATCACTTGCAGTTCATTACCTCGCCGTGGTGTTCCAGTGGCTAAGCCACTCTGCAGCTGGCGCACAGGTCACGTGATCAAATCCCGGTTGCGGTGGCTGCATTTTCGATGAAGGCGAAAATGCTGTAGGCTCATTTGCAAAGATTTGGGTGCACGTTAAGAACCCCTGCTAGTCGAAATTTCCGGAGCCCCGTACTACGGTGTTTCTCATAATAACATAGTGCTTTTGTGGCGTTAAACCCCACATATCCATCAAACAATTGCATTTCCCCCGTAATATATTTCATGGAAAATTTTTGATACATGCCTTAGCGAATAATTTGCAATGATTAGGTTGTTTTTGGATGAGTCTATCGCAACTGGTATTTAAATGTACGAAGCTAAAAAGTACCTAATAAAGTATCAATTGTGCGAGATAATTCTGCTATGTGGCTTTAACAGTATGGTATAGAAAAACCTACAAATGCGCAAACGAACTCATCAGTTGGCTCACTCACTCGGTTCGGACAACGAGTTCTAGTGAGTACGATGGAGTATTGTTATAGCGCACTTGAGTTCTAGTAAGTTCCGCTGAAAAAAAGTATCGTCGGAAAAAAAAAATTGTTCATCCTAAGGTCGAGTGAGCCCGACGGGCAAAATATATTGTATGGGCGAGTCGAAAGCAGCTCCACATTTTGACTGTTGGCAAAATCTGTACCAAGATAGCACACTTAGTCACTCCAGGGTGTCTTCTAAATTTGAGCATTTATCATCACAAAGGCTAAGCTCTCGAGTTTCATAACAGCCCCGCCGTAAGCGCTCTTCTAAATTACCACACAGGTGGGTCCTTTCATCGAAACACCACCATTCCACCTTTCTACAAGACGAAGTAAATCTTCAGCAGTTCACACAGATCGAAATCTAAGTAGTAGCTCCGTAACGCAGGTTTACCTTGCTGATGGACTGAAAAAAAAATCTGCAGATCCTAGTCATTTACGGAGTCAATGTCATTCGAAGCAGTAGATAGAGTGGTTCCTACCGCATTTTAAACACGATAGTCGTCCTTGAGATACTTTCTTTAAGAAATTTGTCTGTGTGCCCGTCCACCATTTGACTCTTCTCTCTGTCAACCGAACCGATTGAGCAACTAGGCTAAAATTCAACTTCTTCAACGCCCCACAATCTTAGAAAGGTTTATAAGTTCAAGCTGGCGCGCATTTTTCGACCAAAAAGTAAACACTGTTCATATCTGAGGCACCATATTGCTACGTTCACATTCTGTAGTGTTTCGTTATAATAGAAAATGCATAAATAATTCTATGAATTGTACTGTTTATTACGTTGCACTGGCAATGTATTGCTATGCATTAAAGGCGGTTGTTTTCTGCGCTTTGCTAAGAATATATGATGCTGCCACCTATCTGTGCCCTTGCAATCTACAAATTGTGGCCTCTTTTCGTTAGGTTATCATTTAGGACATCCAATTTAGGACGCACTATGTCATCCTTTTGTTTTTCAATATTACTGCCCCGCAGAGCTTCCAGAATACTATTCGTAGATTTTTTTTTTCTCGCGCCGTACATCAAATAAGTTTTATTCATTCTCTCCAGACGGAAGACTGTATTTGCATGCTTCACTTAAAGTGACGTAGAAAGAATACAGTCAATTAAAAAAAAACCCAGAATGTGATAGCAACAGATCGGAAGGTCACGCGCAGAGAGGAAAGCGGATCGAAACGTGTTTGGCTTTTCCCACCCACAATTGACGCACGAAACGTACTCGCAGGTACAGTTGCACTCGAATAAGCGCCTGCGTTGTTGCTTCGCTGTGTTTGAAAAGCACGCGCTTTTCGGAAATGAAGACTGCAATGATTGAAATGGCCTTTTGTGGCCCAGTAACTACAACAGAATCGTTCCAGGTAACGCCCGAGGTAGGGTGCAAGAATACTTTAGGTGAGTGAATGTCGTCGAGCGAGCGCTTGGTGGGGAGGGACAGATTATGTTCTCGTTTGCGGTGTGCTGATAGATGGCTCGCCGGACTGAGGACCATGGTGGGCTGCTGGCAAATTCCGCAAAGCACATTCGGCACGTGGGCAACAGTTTCCAAATTTGAGAAAATCGGATTATCATGCGATATCAACGACACGACACTCGTAGAGCGGCGCCGCGAAAGAGGGAAGGGTGAAGGAGGAGGTTCAGTGTGCGGCGAGGGTGTTGTGGTGACGAAAAATGAGCGTCGCTACTTATCTCGTCCGAGGGCTTTCCTACACCAAAAGGAGAGGGAAGGCGGGGCTAAAGGCCCTTAATAGAGAAAGTAGCGACACTATTCTCCATATCCTTTCCAAAGTGTTCAACCCTCCTCTCCCTCCTCTTCCACCGTGCAGGCGCCGGCCCTACAGCCCACCCCGTGCCACTTTCCTCTCAAGAATGCCATGTCACGCAGATAACACGCGCAACTTCTATCCATCGCCACACATCCCTTGTGCCCCCCCTCGTTTCACTATCGCTGGGCGGTCGGTCTAATTCCAAGTCACGCACGGCACATTCGTTTGATCAGTTTGATCAGTTTGACATGGTATTCTTTATAGGATAGGGCTGTGAGCTGGGTACGGCGAAAAAAGAATTAAAAAAAAAAAGGTTCGCGAGTATTTCTTAGGCGACGTCCCGTGTAGCGGAGAGGTGGAAGGCGGGAGAGGAGGGTGCTCGGCGTGACGCCTGACGGTACTTTTCCAAGAATACTCAAGCACTTTACCTGGGGGGGGGGGCGAAGTTTGTAGCGCCATCTCTCGGATGTTTTGCGAAGCAGAACATTATCGGGCAGCGGATGGTCGCGGAGTTTGCTGCCCTAAAGTATTCTTGCACCGTGGTTCGAGGCCAGTCAAGACGAACGATCCACTATCCTCCCCACCGCGACATAAGGGCGCGCGAGGGAGCGTCGCTCCCTTCAGCGGGGCTAAGTACGCGTGGGAGATTACAGCGCGTGCGCTGCGGCGCGATCTGACATTCGCTGAAGGTATGGAGTATTTGACGAGAGTATCTATATTCAAGAATATATGCGATTTTCTGTTTCCGGCTGCGTGATTTCACGTTAGTTTCTTAGGCAAGTTGATTACATTGGCGCTCAAGAAGCACACTATAGTTCGACGTAACTGCGGTGCTCATATTAAGGCCCTAGTGTCACTTTACAATGGACGGCATGATACAGTGGGCTGATGTGCAGATTGGAAAAGGCGGTTTCGACCATATTCGTCTGGGTTTTGCAGGAACTAACCACAGCTTGACCAGTTACAGGAGTCACTACGCAACATTTCTTGCATCGTTACAAAGCCGATGGTGAATACGGCAAGCGCAGGACGTCAGCATGATATAGCATCTTTCTTGTGTTTTATCTTCAGCTTTTTAAAGCAACTGTGCAACTCTCGGAGAGAGAGAGAGAGAGAGAGAGAGAGAGGGAAACAGAGAAAGACATATTTATTTTAACAAAGAGCCGGAGATATTTGTCAGACATGTAACTATCTGATAGAATACTGTACTGCCCCGCAGACTTCATGGGCAAGATTTGTTCTCTTAGTGCGCATTGCTGTCTTTCGTTTCCTACGATTTTGCACACAACTGTCGACGCCTGTGCCGCATTTTCGGACGCACAAGTTCAATAACGCGTGCGCGTTCTGTTTTTGAGGTTCAGTGATCGCCGTTCCTGGTCGCAAAATAAAGCTTCATTTTCTCTACCTGTGATTAATGTGCCATGGTATGCAGGTAAAGAAAGCGTTTCATGAGGTACATGTCGGGTATCTACACATTTGTTATAATCATCTGTTCAGTGTTCCTAAATCACTAATGCTCTCCATTGCAAACTTTGGCGTGCTTCAAGTTCAGTCATCGACCATCAGACGTAAGCGTATTGATAATTAGAGGGAGAGATATAGATACGGCTTAAGATGTGCAGTAAGCCAAGAAATGCTTTCCATTTAAAAAGCTGGAAGGTCTGGGTTCTGTCTTCTACATCTCACTAGAGAAACGCAGATATCCACTCTTGCTCATATTTATGTAATAAAACATAAGATGAAAACTGTTCACCTGCTGTGAAAGAAAAAAAGCCACGAATAAGAGACACTACAAAGCGCCGAACCATAATTGTTTTAAGCACACCGAGTACACCATGGGCGCACCGCACAGTTCAGAACTTCAAAAGGTTACCTCAATAAGAAACAAAATTTAACATGCGAAAAATGATTGCAATGCGTAAGAGAATGAATTTTTATACAAATAGGCTACGCACGATTCACGCAAGTCATTTCATCACTTGAGATATGTATACCAATTGCAAACTGCTCGTTCACGGCAAAATATCAAAGGCGTCAAGCGTACCGTTCTGACTTCTGGAATCTCCTGTTGTTGTAATAAGGGAAAATACTCTACCGAGACTGTAGGTAACTCGCAGCAAGGTACGCGGAATCGTTCTTTCTTCGCAACATCGTTTAAGCAGTTCTGTATTCTCATGAGATCATTTCTTCGCTCGAACAATTTTTTGCGAAATTATGAGTGCAGTAAAACCATAAGGTGGCTCAGAATAATTATCAATCTAAAGGCTAACACCTAATGACGGCAAAACATCGATGACATAACGTAATTGTTGTTCTACTGGTCTTTACGCCTTTTTCACATCGTCGTTCACTTTGCGCAATTCGACAATTTCGCGTGCTGTCATAGTACAAAAAGCACTCGCATTGGTAACATTAATGTCTGTTACAAGTACGTCTCAGTGTTCGCATGTACAAGCTTCAGTGAGTTCATAATAGTGTTCATCTTGTGTACAAATGCAAAACGTTTGTTTGGCGGCGGCCTTCATTTAAGTTTGGCCTTGCGCAGGCCATGGTATTGAACCACTTGCAATCCTACCAAGAAAACCGGAAGGCACTACCAGAGAAGATAATCGTCTACAGGGATGGTGTCGGCGAAGGCCAGTTCAAGGACTTGAAGGCCAAGGAAGTAAATGACATCCGATCAGCCTGTCAAGCAATGGGTCGGAAGTTCAATCCTCCCCTCACCTACATTGTCGTGCAAAAGCGCCACCACACTCGTTTTCAGCCTTTACGTGGAGACAAACCACAGAAGTTCAACGTTCCTCCCGGCACGACCGTCCAAGAAACGATAACCCACCCGGAACACGACAACTTCTTTCTCTGCAGCCAAAAAGGCGTGCTGGGAACGAGCAGGCCGGCGCATTACCACATTCTCTGCAACGACTCCAAATACGATCTGTACAAGTTGCAGAAGCTCACATACGACCTGTGCCATCTGGTCGCGCGCTGCACCCGCAGTGTAAGCACTCCGGCACCGGTCTACTATGCCCACCTGGCTGCCTTCCGGGCGAAGAAGCACATAGAGGGCCGCGGTCTTCGTGGCCAGTTGACGAAAACGCATTATACTGAGGCAGTGACGTTGCAGCCGTCTATCGCGGAAACGATGTACTTTGTGTGACTGCCTCATGGATGATAGACGCTTAAACCTTCACCTGACGCAACGTGACATTTTCAGCGCGAAGAAATTTTACTGACCGCACAAAATTTTCTGTAAATAAACTGTTTTTAACTCCCGTGACTTGCCTGACCTTTTCTTGGGTGCGAGGGCACACAGCACCAGTTTTAAGAGAGGCGCTGAAAGTTTGTTTCATGTGGTTGACACGGTTACGTTTCGTTGTGTTGATGTTGATTGCCACAGTAGTGTGAAACCTGTTTGGAAAAGCTATAAGGTGCGCTAGTTGGTGTTGATACGTTTTCAAAAGTGCGCTTTGTGAACATGAGCTGAAAATACTAGGGGGCAGAATTGAACGAATGCAACCCTCCTCGTTTCAAGGTCTCTTTTTGTTTTCTTCGTTCAGCGAACTGGGAGCGCAGAGAAAACACAAAGGACGAAGCGAGGAACCACACAACACGAGCGCTCGTGTTGTGTGGTTCCTCGCTTCGTCCTTTGTGTTTTCTCTGCGCTCCCAGTTCGCTGAACGAAGAAAATGAATTACCAACTGGCCCACATTTTGATCCTTTTGCAATGTGTCTCTTTTTGTCCCATGTTGTCTTTTTGTCCCGCGTTTACGAGGCGCACATTTGCAGATGTGTCACACAACTTGGCTGCCTATAGCTCTACCTGCAGATTTCATGTAGGTGATAACTAACGTAGGTAAAAATGGATATAAGATGGCACGCAAGATAGAACCCTATAAGGAACACTCATCATCGATTACTTACAAGAAACATTTATTCTCCAACACCACGCAATATATATGCCCACTTCAAAACAACGAAGGCACATAAAAATTACAGATTGTGCGGAGAAACTGCCACTGCGATTTTGATTTTTTTCAGTGTTCTGCGATGTCTCGCTAGACCCCTGGGTCGTTATGCAGGCCGACGTTCACGCTCTAAGCTTCATATTGCGTGCGACTGTACAGCTACCGGAGAGATGTTTTTTTTTTTTTTTTTTGCCGGTCAAGTCGGACAGTAAGGTCAAGAGCACGCCTTATACTAGCAGTCTAACGAGCCCGCGTTCAACTGCTTTGGCAGGCAAGGAAGCTGATTTATCCCTTTGATGAATGTATGCCCAGTGGGCCTGGTTTGAATTGATAGTTTGATTATACCATCTCTGTTTGTCACTTCTTGTTTCTTATTTCTTGATGCTTCAGTGCGGTGCTGATGACCAAACTCAAGATTAAGGAGCAGTGTTGATAAAACTTTGGCGTAAATCAGGGATGTTCTATATCTTCCTTCCTTCGGTGTTCCGTCGTTTGCGCTGTTTTGTTTCCGCTGTGCGTGCCACCGCGCCCGCCCAACCACTTTGGGTAGCACAGGTTTGACCTCTGTTGCGGAGGCCGCATTTCGATGGATGGAAAATGGTACAGGACTGTGTGATATAGTTAAAAATTCCGGAGCCCCCATCTACGGCTTCTATATTAAAAATTATCGTAATTTTTGGGCGTAAACTTTAATTATTAATATTACCCCCTTTTGGTGACCTATATCGTCACGCGATTTTATGACCTTTATACCCGTGTGTTAGGTGTCAGCCACAAATACTGTTACCCATGCTCGGCGCAGACCACGCCGCAAACTTTGAGACTCCGCGATTGTTCAAGATATTTCTGTTGAAATTACGCACAGGATGCTAGTTTTCAAGCGAATTCGATAGCTTGCACGAGCACCCACGATAACACTCTCGTGTTCCATGCCGACGCGACTCGCCACAGATGAGATAGAAAGCTGAAGTCTTGTTCGCCGCTACCAGCACACAACTTAAATTACTTTTACCTTGCCTTTTTATTTTTCCGGTCACAGGTACAGCCGGATAAAAAGTAGTCTTAAACGAGCTGACGGCCACCTTCACCCACGTCATGATCACGTGACAATGACCTCGCACGTTGCTTCTTGCATGAGTTAAACGGAAGTGTTTAGCACACAAAGTGTAGCTTGGTTTCCGTTAGCCTAAAAATAACAAATTTGTCTTGAACATAAAGCGCACAATTTATTCTAGAAATAAAACGACTTTCTCGTGTGCTCTGTTTTATATGTGAATTTAGTGCACTCTCCGAGTAAATTTTTACCTGTAATGTATATTGCACCAAAAAAAAAAGAATCCCTTTAGAAGGCGCTATATTAATAAGCCTTGCCCCTGCCATCTCACTGAAACTAGTTTAACCGCTTTGGAATCGGTAAAATATCAGAATCTTCCAATTCACGAAGGTGTGTCTTGTATAAAATATAAACGAGCAACTTTACGTGTGGGACACAGAGCAAAATTAGTGTAATCCGCATCAGTGCCGCCCATACGAGAGCCTTGGAAGCACAAGTTCTAAACCCGGCTCATCGTGGCATTCGACGAATAAGAAGCCACCTCAAGCAATGTCACGCTTGACTCTTTTGAATGCTCGTAGTACTGTTAATAAAATCATTGATCTGGAATACATATTGCTGTCGGAGAGTCCCCCTGTCATGTTATAATTGAAACTTGGTTAAGTACCTGCATTATCAGGGTATAGCACCTGCACCTCCAGGGTATAGCATGTTCAGATGGCACAGAGATTGACGCGGTGGGGGCGTTGCTATTATTGTAAAGGATTGTTGTCAGGCCATAATGGTGGATAGCAATATGTATAAGTTAGTGTGGTGTAAAATACCTTTTGAAAACTCTGCGTACCTCATTGTTGTTGTTTAGACCACCAGCGACTCCACCTAGACGAGCTTAATGAATTTCTTTGTACTCAATGCAAACAGTACCTTTCGACCAATGTTGGATGGTGACTTCAACCTTGGATACATTGATTGGGAAGCTATATATAGTCAACATACTGAAATGGGTGCAAATAAGTTATTAAAGATTGCCTTCTTTCACAATTTAAGGCAGATTGTTAACAATTACACAAAGGTAACACCCGCATCCCGATCAATATTAGATTTTCTCGTTTTGTGTAGCAGGACTGAAGATTATAGTCTGTTAATTCTGGAAGGTATATTCGATCATAAGATGATTTCGGTGAACATTCTTCTGTTGTCGAGCAAGCGTTGTGATGACTTGGGGCCTAAAGAACGGTTGTTGATCAAATATTACGAACGAGTGGATGATACTTCGAAATTCATTAAATGACTATTTCAAGTAATATAAGATGGAATTGTCTCCCACTCAGATACAGTCGAGGAATCCATAGATAAATTCATAGATAACTCGCGATATTGGTCACAGGAAACGCAGAATAAAAGAGCTACGCAAGCATCCAAAGAAGTATAACGAACTATCCCAGGTGCGCAGTAGACTAAAGAGGGCATTATCAGAATAAAAAAAAAGTATTTCAATAAGACGCTGGGAAGCTATCTTAGAAGCTCACCCACCAAATTCTGGCGTTCTTTAGGAGCAAAGAAATAAAAATTAGACCAGATAAATATACAAGATGTTACTGTCACAGATGCACAACACATAGCTGGTGGTTTCAACGAGTTTTTCCATTCAGTCTTTATTAGAGATGTACAAAGTTCCGTCGCACGCGACATAAACTAGAACTGTGCTTGTCCTATGGAGACTCTTTTGTTTCATCAAGAGGGTGTGTTTGAGCAGCCGTTGCACTTCGATCCGAAAAAAAAAGCCTGTGGCCCCGATTGAATACCAACGGCGTTTTTAAAACGATAGGCCCAATTTTCGGAGTACTCCACTATACGGCGTCTTTCATAGTCATATGGCAGTTTTGGGACGTTAAGCCCCACATATCAATCAAAACAATATGCCGACCGAGTGTCTATCTGGTAATCATTTTTGAACAATCTCTACGTAACCATTCAGTTTCACAGGATTGGCGTTGCGTTGCAGTTATACCCGTGTTAAAAAGCGGAAGTCGCATGCATCCAAACAACTATCGCCGTGTATCCTTAACATCTGTATGCTGCAAGATCATGGAGCACACAATCGTTAAACACACTATTCATTTTCCGGAAACTAATAAGCTGCTTTGCGCCAATCAGCATGGTTTCAGAAGGGGGCTATTCACGGTTACAATACTTATCGAAACGATTCACGACTTTTTGTGGGCTTCGCGTGAACACCGACAATCTGATGTATATTGCATCAAATTAAAAAAAAACATTTGACAGTTTGACATGGTAAACTGATTTATAAGGCGCGGCAAATTGATATCAGTAATGATGTTTTAAAGTGAACTTAAGTTTATATAACAGAGCAGGGGCAAGTGGTGCGTGTTAATAATTTTGTGTCAAGCTTTTTGAATGTTCTTTCCGGGGTACCACAGGGATCGGTGCTAGGCCCTTTATTGTTTTTAGTTTATATCAACGACGTTGCCAAAGTTGTTCAGCCGCCAGTGGTCTTGAAACTGTTTGCAGATGACTGCCCACTATATGCTCCAGTTATCTGCGAAAATGATCAGGAAAAAAATGAACCAGTGTCTTTAAGGCCTTCATACCCTGTGTGAAAAATAGGATATAATAATGAACTACGCCACAACTACTTTTGCGCTTATTACCCGAAGGAAAAAAAAAGTTCTTCATTTTCGGTACCGTATGGACACCGCACCGGCGACAGAACCGCTCAACATGGCCAGGCAGACGACAGTAGTAGCAGCAGATGGTTCTGTTATCCGGTGTGCGCCAAAGATTGTTGGGAAGCGTTGAAGGACGGCGAGAAAGGGGAACATGGGAACCTGCCGGTATGCGTGTTGCGTAGAAGGCGTTCCATTGGTGGGCAGAGTCGACGACGTTTGACGGCGCATGTGCCGGCCTTCGCACGACGTCAGTGTAAGTCAGGGGAGCGGACACAGGCGCTGGCTGGTACGTGGGCGGGAGTGCCTCGCAGACTTGCTCTTCGATGATCTGGCACAACGACGAGGTCAGCCCGTGAGTATTGCTGGGAAGGAAGGGCGCAAGTGACAACTGGCGAGCCACTTCCTCTCGGATGAACTGTTGGATTTGCGGCGGTAATACCGTCTGTTCCGGTGAAATTGCCCCAACGGTCAATGGTGACGTGGTCGTCATGTAGAAAGTAAGGCGTCGCGTTAAAATGCGCTGGGTTCGCAACTCATCAAAGTTCTGGCAGTGCTGAATAACTTCCGC